TCACCTCAATCCTCAAGGCAATATGCAAGAAAAGAGAGAAGCTTTGAAAATTGCTGTAAAAGAATTTCATGGCATGGCTGAAAATTATCCTGACCTTTCTTTGAGCAGTGGTGAGATGGGGGCTCTCCGTGCAACGTCATTAGGCAATCACATCCAGACACGCAGAGGATATTGGTTCAGTGCTTTTATTAGCAAAAATTCCTACTGTCTGCTTCACTAAACACTTACCTCTCCTCTACTCTGTGGTGCTGCTTTGGTATTCATGATGAAGAGATGCGTAATGACTCATGTCCCAGAATACTACCCAAGAGGAGCACGCAGGTATAAATCTTTGCTTCCAGATCAGGCAATGCTTCTCATTTTGCTCACCTACTCTGCAGGCCATCATCTCTGAGCGGTCACAGTCAGAAGGCTGCCCTGCTGTGCACAGAGAAGGAGGGCAAAATAGTCCTGTTACTTGCTGAAAAAGATCCCCTCCTTCACATTTACTAACGTGATACTCCCCTGCAGAGTGTGCTTTCCTGAACAACAGCTGAAGGAAAGACAGGTAGGATTACAAGAAGTTTATAATTTTTTTGCATACAGCTGTGGGGAATGTGGATTTGGGAGACAAAGCTCTGCAGAAGTCAAGAATTGGAGGCAGGGCTGCAAGTATCGGTGGGGACTCCTGGGTCAGAGTCCTTCTGCAACTGGGACCAGTGGCTGTACTGGGAGTGAAGGACATTCTCCCTCAGCTGCTGTGAAACAGGCACATTTTCTACTCAACTGCACTTTTGCACCTTCCTTTGGCTTAAGACATGAATAACTTGTTCCTTCCTTATGCATCCTCCCTGTGCCAGTCCAGCCATGGGTTTGCATGAGACCTGGTGTAAACCAAGTTTTAATGATCATCCTGTGGAATTGCTGATATAAAACTTAATGTGATATTTTTACCTTCAGACCTTGCAGTTAGTGTAGCGTAGGTTAAAAGCTGTATTTATTGCAGGCTTTTATTTTTATTAAAAATGGATCTTTGCAGTCCATCCAAAATATTCAGCGTGGGAGGAAAAGCACTGTAGCTGCCTCTGCTGTCCCCTATAGTTGCCAGCATGGTAAGCTGTGCTGCTAACCATACAGCATACAAACCAACATGTGATGCAGGGCAAGCATGGTACAAAACATGGACTTTTAGGAATATCCTGCAGGTCACCAGTGTTGGCCTAGAACATGTTTTTCTCACCACACCTGGCTTTCCATGGAGGCAGACAGGGCAACCCTCAGGATCCTCTGAAGTCACAGCAGAACTTCTGCTGCCCAGAGGGGACAAAACTTCACCCTTCCTGAAGCATTCATCCAGGCATCAGTGTGAGGAGAGAGGTTTCCCTGCTGCCTCTTCTCTGGGATCTGATGGGGCAATGTGGAAGGCAGGGTTGGAAATTAAATTTCCAGATGACAGTGTTTGAGAGACAAGTAAGGAAAGGTTACCCTGTGTCTAGCCCTGAATTAAGTGATGAGAAGCCATAAATATAAAACAGTTTCCCCCTGTTATTTTTAACCTAAGCACAGGAAAGCGATAGACCCAGGTCAGACTGAAGCCACACCATCTTTGGCTGTCAAAAGCTAGTGCCTTAGGAAAAGTACAAGGACAGGGCAAATGTATACTGATTTCCCTCCCAAAATATTCCCCTGGGCTATTTGTACTACAGTCATTCCTGAAATGAGGCGGTGCCTTTGTTAGAAGCCTGTAATTTGCTTCCTTGTATTTGCCCTTAAATGACATTAAGTTCTCTTAGCTTGCCTTGAAGCCACCAAGCTTTCTGGCTGCTGAGCTGTGGGTCAAGCCCAGGCTGTGGCAGCAGTCAGAGCTGCCCCAAGAAAGTCTTCCAAAGTAACACCATGACTTTGTCAGAGGGCAGTCAGATCAGCCCTTGTGACCCTCTGACCTCTCCAGCCAACACGCAATTTGGCTGTTTGTTTTTTTCCAGCATGCCCAAGCTTTTTCCTGTCTGTACAAGGAGGTTGTGCTGTCACTCCCCACTGTCAGAGAGAGGCAATTTTCCTTGTCTGCTGTCTTCCCTCTCTGCTGGGGAGCACACTTGCCTTCCAGGCTCTGCAGCAGTGTAACACAGTGAACGCCACCAAACGTGCTCTCCATTTCCCTTAGCATACAAGAAAGGAGAATCAAGTCATGGTGGGACTTGTAATTAAGTGTGATAACAACAGCTTGTGTACTGCAGTTGATTTCTTTGCTGTATCAATTCAAATATGTTACACTGAGGTAATTTTGTGCACAGTCCAGTAGGGTCTTGTGTGTCAGCACACGTGGCAAGGAGTTTTAAGATGTTTTGCCAAAGCACAGCGTCACAAGTGTTGAGAGCAGAGAAAGAGGACAAAAAAAATATCAATGGCTAATGTTTGGTGTGTTGCCTGACCACCACGTGTTTCGTGCTTTACCAGTTGCAAAAGTAAACGACATTTCAGTCAAAGAAATTCTAGGTCATTTCGCTTTGGGAACTGTTAACTCTCAGAGTTTCTGAGGTGCCACCAGCTACCTTTACCATCAAAGGGGAATACACTAAAGGCAATGTAATACGGTGGTCAATGTTGGTCCCTGTCCTGTGTCTCAAAGCCTCATGGCCACCAGTGGCCTCCACCATATGAATCGCTGCTCTTCACCAGGTAGGCAGTAAACATGGGGTGGGCTTGTTTACCTCAGCCCCTGCCAAGCTCCCCTGCAAAAGTCTGTGTTGCCAGGCTTTGTTTAAAGCAGACCAGAATGCAAAGCCTGAAGCAATGATCTTTCATAGTAGGGTTTAGTGCCAAATCCAGCGTAATTCTTGTGTTTCCACTCCCTGCCTACAGCCAGCCTGTAACGTAACATCTCAAAGAAGTTTTGCTTTGGGAGGTGGAAGAGACACTGAGGGTGTCCCTCAGAAAGCCCTATGGGGAGGAAAATGCACACTGCTGCAGACAGAAGGAAAGCAATGATGCTCAGGGTAGACAGAGCCTTTCCATTTCACTCCTGCTGTGGCAAGCCTGATGCTTTTAACCCTGAAAGTATACTCTCCACAGTCACATTATATTTTTATTTAGTAAAAATCAGAGCCCCATGGAAGGCTTTGAGGTGGTTCCCAAGCTGGCTGAGCATGTCTAGAGAGTGCAGCTGCAACGGTCCTGGACAACAAGGTAAATTAGGCGCTGCAAGTTTGCTCTGATCTGATGAAAGACATTCAATGTTTGCATGAGAGTTTTAGAGAGCCAGTGTTGAAGACTGGAAATATAATCGATCTATAAGTCTTGAAATATGTAATGGATCTGTCCAGGCTGAGAAGATAACTCTAGCGTTATTAAAAACTCTCAAATTTGAATATATTGCAAATAAATGCATTTACTGGAGGGTAAGGCTAGGACCCCTCTTTTTTTCTTATCCAACAGCAGACTGTGTAAACTACTGACTGGATAACACACGAGAAGTGAGCTGCTTGTTAGTCAGTGATGCTTACAAAGTTTTAACCAGGCCCAATATACTTGCCTTGGAAGCAGAGAAGCCCCCAGCTGCAGACACTTGCCACCAGAGGCCCCTATCGAGTGGTACCCTTCCCGCTATGTGGGTATGCAACCCTGCTTTCATTCCCAGCAGTGTCGGCTCTGATCAGCCCGATCACACTGGGTCCTGAAATTGTGAGATTGGAAGTGGAGTGAGAAATGTGTAGATTTCATGGTTTGTGGATTTTTTTAAAAATTCGTAGTTGTTTGTAGTAATAAACAAACCTTTACTTGCTTTATGTTTTTTGAGCTTAGAGGATGCTCTTGGACCAAATCTTTAGGCTTTCTCTGTAGCTGAGAGGGGTTATGAGTCTGCTCTGTAAAAACAGAGAGCAGGGAGTCTTCTGTTATCACTGGCCTGAGGGAGCATGAAATTGAAAACCTCAGCCATTGCAAGGCTTACCACAAACGCATGGTAATTGCTGAGACCCTTACGTCTAGCAACCTGTGCAGGCAGGTCTGGGACTGCTATTCTGCCCATGTGCAGGAAAGCAGATGCCTGGACAAACCAAGATTTGAAAATGTATTTCTGCAGGTTTTTTTTTTTCTTTTATATTGACCTTTGTTAGCACGTGACCCTTGCGAGAAGCTGTGAAGAATGCTGTATATTCCCTTAGTACTCTGTGTATGATTGTATTTTTATTTTCTTTATTAAAACCTGGACAGAGGAAAATAGGCCAGATTCCACTCCATTACCCCTGCTCAACTTCATCAGCTGCATAGAGCTGTGGTGAAATAACAGCTTTTGATGGAGTACATCCAAAAGCCCACTACTAGCATGCGTGGTAACAGATGCTACAAAATTGCAGAGAGTAAATGTTTGGCAATTCTCCTCTGAAGCAGCTACCTTGTGCCGGCAGCCTCATGGTCCAGTTCAGAGCCCCTGCTCAGGAGAGCTGCATTTTCTAGCAGAGCCTATTTTGGTACTGGTAGCACTTCTGAGGTGAGGGAGGATTTGCAGAACCAGAGAACTGGGGGGAAAATCGGGTTGGCAGGGACCTCAGGTTGTCTACTCTAAACTCTCTCTGAAAGGGGGCCCCCATCAGCAGATCAGTGCAAGCTCACCCCATCATCGTGGTTATCTGCAGGATGCAGTGTTAAGGTGGCTGTTGTGGGATTCACCTATTAGACACCTGCAATAAAGACCTCGGCACCTGAGCCAGTTCCCTGTACTGTATTCACAGTCAGTGCAGAGAAATGGACCTGGCAAGAGTTTTGTCCTGCTTTGGAGAAGCTGAGCCAGCTGTGCTCAGGTGAAGCCCACCTAGGAGTGCACATGTATTTCTTGCTGCTTTATGACTGAGAAGGAAAATGACAGCATGAGAAAACCTGCCTTCAGATAAAAAGCCAAAAATGAAAAATAAATAAAAAGCTCTTTTTTTAAACTTTTTATTTCTCTCCCTTCTGGTTGATCAGCAGCTCCAGGGCAGATGAGCCACCTGCCGTGCCTGCCCCCCAGCCTGGCCCCTGAGGAGATGCAGACCCCTAGAATGGCGGGGAGGAAGCGAGGGCGGCCCCCGCTTCAGCCTGCGCCCATCAAAATGCCTGTTCACAACCTCTACTCAGCACCAGCCGGTGCTTTGCCAGTGGTGAAGATCCCGAAGAAGAGAGGGAGGAAACCTGGCTACAAGGTAGATACATGACTTTCACACTCCTTCTCCACGTCCTGCTGCTTTTAATACATTTCTACCTCAGATGGTGAAAAATAGAGGGAATCTTTTTTTTTTTTTTTTTTTTAAGTTTACAGTGATTTTAATTTGCATTGTTTAAAAATAACCTGTCTCCCACAGTGTCATGTAAGATGGCTGCACACCTTCTGGGAAGTGTTTCTCTGCCATTTGTTACTTTCTTCTTCTCTCTCACTAACAGTGATTGGAAATGGAACAAAATGAAAGGAAAGGGAAAGGAATATGGAGGAGTGGGAATAAAAGGAGAAAATAAAGCTAATTTCAAAAGAAAAAAAAAAGGACATTTTAGAATGTAATGAGATTGCACTTTCAGAGAGAAAGGCAGTTTTGATTCCTTGTCTGCTCACTTTGGGGGAAAATCATGCCCAGCTCTCAATGTGGCCTCAGTGGGGAGGAGAGGCTAAAGAAAGAGAGAAAGAAACACAAGGGCACCTTATGCCCTTTACATATTGCCAGTGATCTGAGGTCTCTCACAGTAACCCACCCTGGGGGGCTCAGCACCAGCAGGAGCAGGGCCACCATTATGCCTCAGACTGGGATTGTGATGCTATGGGAAGGGGAATTTATTCTGGGGAGTGAAAATGAGCTAGATTGTAGGTCTTGTTGTCAGTAGGTTGCTCCATTATTCTCTCCATCTCTGCAGCCAGCTAGGGGCACCGCACGTTTTCTGTGCCTGTTCCTTGGATTTACTGGGAACAGGTACAGGCGTGCAGACTGTTACACAAGGAAGGCAAATTGCTGACTGTTAGAAAATAGTAGCTGCCTAAGTTCCTGATGTCAAAACAGAAAAGTGAGTAACATCAGCAGTGTATGGGCAGGCTGCCCCAGCCTTGCCTGGAGAAGGAGTCAGCCCTGGGTGTTGCCCAGCTCTTCACCGGGTCTCACCCACTACACAGGAGGCAGAAAGGCCCCATGCATGGTACTGCTGGCCGAGCTCTGGAAACAGGGACCAAATGTCTCAGGTTCTTGGGTTTGGGCTTTATCTAGAGCAGGCTACACTTATTGTTTCCCTTCCCTCCTTTTGACGTCCTGCTAGACCTTCTTCTTCCCATCCTCCATCCTCCATCCTCCCTCCTCTATCTTTTCCAGGCAAACCCTCCTCACCACCCTCTGCATCTCACTTCCAGAATTCCTTACTTCTCTGCATACCCCTCTGCAAACCCCTCTGCAACACCTACTGCAGTAGACATCAGTACCTCAGCCCTTGGTGCTTTCTCATCTTCTGCCTTCTCCCATGTCTCTCCATGCTCTCCCTACTTCATCCATACCTCTCTTTGCTATGGGGACACACTGAAGTGTGTTTCATTGTGTGCTGAGAACAGACCTTGCATGGCTAAGGGATGGCTCCAGCTGCAGTTTCCCATTTCTTCTTTGGACAGCAGGCTCAGGTGTCCCTCTTGGGGTTGCTGCGGAATTTTATAGCAGTAGTCCAAAAGAGAGTTAGCTGTATGTCCAAGATAAGACTGGGGCAAATACTCTAATGTTTTGTAAAATGTGGGATACGGAAATACTTATTATTTTTAACTTCAGTATTAGGTTAAAACTCTGGGACAGAAACATTGTTTCACCTGAGTTACTTGTTATTACAAGTTTGTGATTTATTTTATTTACTTTATTTATTTCAAGTAATTAAATTATTATCCATAAATTTGGGTCACTTGTAGGCTCTTCAGTTCAAAATCACCCAAGTCTGGGATAATAAAACTTTGATGATTTGGTGAAATTGAGTCTCTGAATATGATTAAGTGATTCGTCAAGTATCACAATGACCTTGTATGAAGAGTTTTGGCAGAGCCCTTCCCTTCTGCCTCTACTTGTCTTGCTGCCACCCGTTTCTTACTCCTGCCTTTACATTTGATTTGTAATTTGATGAAAAAAATAATGTTCTGTTCCACCTCAAATGCACCCATTCACCTGTGAAAAAGCCTTTCACCAGCCACCATGTATTTGCAAGCAGAAGTGAAAAGGGAGGCTTAAATTTCCTAAAATGCTGCAGTATAACATTGCAATTTGGACCTAGGTGGCTGAGCACTTGATTGCTGTTGCCCTCTCTTCTTCCAAAAGAAAGCTTTTCCCCTGGCTGGGTACCACCCCCTCGCCCTTCCCCATCCCCAGGGACTTAGCTGGGAGGTGACAGCATCCCTCCTTCGGCCACGAATCTGGGATAATGGGATTATTTTTCTGGCGAGTGATGGCGAGTGAGAAGGCACCCTTTTATAACCAATGGCTTAAGTTTCTGGAGCTGACACTTGTGAGCTGTAGCATCCATGGCATCTGGCCCAGCGCTGTTTATTTGTGCTGTAGGAGTCACGCACCAAAGTGACATTGTCTGTGAGGTGCCTTTGTATGCTGTGCACTCAGCTGAAGTGAACCCCTCTCCATCAAAAACACTTCCCCAGTGTGAGTCAAAGATTATGCTTTTTGATGGGGAACTCTAGCTTGATTTAATTAGCTCGCTAATTGTATGCCCATAGATACCATGAGACTTAAACGCATTTTAAAAAAATCACTCCCTGCCCAAATGGCAGATGACCAAATTCTTTATCGCAAACAGATAGCAGAATTATTACAGAACAGATGGAAAAATACTTCTGAATTTTTAGCAAACTAGGAATTTACAGCCTAGATTTAAATTTATTTTGACGAAGATATGAATAACAGACATTTTTAATCACATGCTTTTTATAGCCAGAAGACCCATTGCCTGTTTTCATTGATATTACAGCAAATACCTGTCTTCTAAAAATGGCATTCATCACGCTTCACCACCAAACAAAGTCCTTTTCCTTTCTATCCTGTTTATTTTTTCACAGCTTTGTTTATAAAATTTTATCAGTTGTTTTTCCAAAAACTGTCCTTTACCTGATGCAGAGCTATTTGCCATAAGATACTACATTTCCTCTAAATACAGTATTCTTTCTGTCTTAATCTCTAGGAAAAATTCTATTCTGGTGATCGGGGGGGAGGTTAGTAGATGGATCTCTTTTATTTCTCTGAACACAAGTGAGGGGCAGCCCCAAAGTGCTGCCTACAAAGCCTGAATGAAGGGAGGTTTTGTTAGCATCATGGGGAGATTCGTGGTGTTAGAGGACATCTGAGTGACACCTGAATGACAAGCACATGGGACAGCACTGCAGCAAAGGCTACCACATCCCTCCCAGAGGGCAACAAAGCGATGACCCCATCTGAACAGCCCAAAGGCAGTTTGTTCCCCTTTGCTACTGCAGCAGCTCCTGCCTGAGGAGATGGCCCCAGCCCAGGTAGAGTGGCCAGCTGGGGCTTTGCAAGCTCCTACCAGGCAGAGTGAGCAGCGAGAGTTGCCTTGTGCAGGATGATGTGTGGAGTGACAATCTCTATTACAGGGCAGAGGTTCCCCTGCTGCCCTAGAAATCACTATTAATGATGACAAATAAGCAGTCAGGATTCAGACACACCGGGACTGAGATTGCACAGACAACCTTAAAGTGCCCTGATTGTTCACCTGTCCTGTGATACAGCCTTGGATTTCAAGGTTGCACGTGCTCCTCTTAACATTACCTGCCTCATTCACTGCAAAACACTTGGGAGATGTAGGAGGCTGCGTGCACACTCCCCCACATCATTTGCTGTGCAGAAGAATGTTATTGCATGACGCAAGAAGAAAAGGTGGGAAAGACCTTGGACTATGTTTTGCCTTTGCCAGCACAGCGCTGACCCCTCTTTGCCCTCAGCGACTGAGCTGAGCCCTGATGAGCTTCGTGCTGAGCCTTCTCACCCGCAGCCAAAGGCACAGAGGGTGCAAGGTATAGCCAAGGACCCCAAAAAAATGTACTCAGAAGCTCTGTGCTTCCTTGATGCAGGTTTAATGGTACCTTCTGCCCGGCCATTGGAAGCTCCCATGGCAGGACCAGGCTTGGCCAGGCGCTCGCTATGGTGCACATCTGTGCGCACACCTGCAGCAGCAGGAGGTGGTTTCCTCTCCAGCAGCAAAAGCTCTCGTGACCAGGAGTTGTCTCTGCTCTCCTGGCTGGAAGGACACAGCCCTAAGGGGATGAGGCAGACCTCAGCCTTTTCTAGCAAAGTTTTGTCAGAACAAAGGACAGCTGGTACAGGGGAACTAGTAGCCATAAAGATGAGGACCTATGATCTAAGTGGTTTAAGAAAAGTACAAGGAAAGTTTGCATTGTGGTTCATCTCGCTTCTTTCCTGTGTATCTATTATATAAGCCAGCAAAAAAATATCTTCAGAAGAAAAAAAAGCCTATCCCTGAAATGTTCTTCCCCCTCTTTCACTTTTTTTTTTTTTTTTTTTTTGGTATGAGGAGACAGAAATACCAGCTAGATGAATCTTGATTGCTGCAAAGGGGTGTGCAGAAACTCAGAATCGTAACAGAATTGTAACACAAACTCCAGGACTCAACAGGGTCCTCCCCATCCACAGCTACTGCCCACTCAGAGGAGCCCACAGCCAGCATCAATGGCACAAACCCCATGCTCTTTCTGCACCTAATGCACTGTGGCTTTGGTAAAGTAGACACACTTATTCCCTACCCTAAATCCCTGATCAGTTTTCTCTGATCTCTTTTCCACGGTAGAAGATCCATAACAGGGGGGACAGGGGAGGGGTGGTGTTGTACATCTTGCTTTAAAGCAAACATTGCCTTTTATATCTTATACTGTGTATATTAAAACTTCAGACATTTGATATTCAAAAGCTGATTCAAATGCTTTACTGTGGGGATTGCCCAAAATTCTCTTACAGATTTTGTCTCCTTTTCTCTCTCTCTTTCTCTCTTCTTCACCACTTTTTTTTTCACTTTCACGTATATGTGCTCTCTACTGCCAAGCTCTCAGTCAGTCACCTGGTTGATTGGGTTGGCTTTTTTGATAAGAGAAGAATCAGCCCAAGAAAAGACATCTTTAAATTAAATACTTTGAGACTTACACTTTGTGATATTCAGGGACTACTCAGGTTTTCAGGGGACAGGAGGTATTTAAGTCTTGTTTGATAGTGTACTGCCTCTTGTAGTCAGGGATTGTTTTATTTTGTTCTAAGAAAGGCACATTGTCTGCTGCCCCTAATAAAATGGCAATTATCTATATCCAGAGGCTGTAGAGCACATACTGTTGCAATTAAGTTTGCAGTAAACTGTTCGCAAAAACAGCAAACTGCCAAGTAGGCACTTCCAAGCTAGAGAATTTACACAAGTCTTGCTCTCTGTTTATTTATTCTTGAACATAGCCTGCCTGGGCCTCCAAAAGCCAGGAAACAGGTGGAGAAAGCAGTCTACCGGACACTATCCCACCTCCACTGGGCTGATGGTGCTCTTGGGGCAGTGCACACTCAGATAGTGCATGAGACTCAAGGCAGGAGAGGGGACTTGTGAGCCAGTGCTTGGGGCCACAGGGCTGTGAGCCAGAAAGGATGTTAAGGACCCAACATGCCAGTGAAACAGAAGTTACTAGGTGTGTTGTTTCCAAAATACTATCTATGTAGACATCTGAATTTGTGAGCACATATATATGTTTTCATATAGATGTTGCATGTAAATATATATAGAAGTATTTATGTACATCTTTATGTAAATGTATATACTTTTGTATCTATGTATATACTATGTACAAACACACATATGCATATATGCATTCACTATACGTGTATATATGTGTATGATCAAATGTAAGCCCAGAAACCTAGCATAGGGGCTGCCCAAATTTTCGAAGTGCCAGCTCACTTCATCACAGAAAAGTGAGTCATCAATGTGTTGCTACAGAAAATAACAGGTCATCCTGCTTCTCACCTTCGCACAGGGGATAAACCCCAAACTGGATAGGGACCTTGATTTTTGAAACACCACTCTTCCCATTTATTTTAATTGCTTGGGAAACAAACTGACAGCACTCAGAGGCTGCTCTGAGGGAAACTCTAGGTTGTGTAAAGGAGCAAGTTCAAGAAGGGCTTGGTGGAGGCCTGGTGGCCAAAAATTATACTCATCTCAACAAAGGTAGCCTTTTTGTTTGTTTTGAGGAGTACCATCCCAGCACAGGCTATCATGCTACTGAAAGCAAGAGAGAGATTCTGAATTCTCTCTTAGTGAAGCCCTTGCTGGGATAAGCCAGTAAATGGGAAATGACCCGAACTCCTGAAGATTTAATGTCTAAAAACTCACCTGGATGGCACTAAGTCCAACAGCCATCCTTCTCCTTTCCCCAGCTTCCTGGTTTTAGTGTTACAGTGGAACAGTGATCATTATTTTAGACAGTTGTAATCCTAATCACGGAAAACGTGACTCTTTATCCAAAATTACTTCTACTCTTCGTCAGGACTTATTCAAGGTTTGGTTTGTAGGTAGTGGTCTGGCTTCATTTCTACCTAAAAAAATACTTTGTACATTATTTCCAGCTTGAGCTGGAAGAGAGAAGCAATACTCTGCAAATTTAATGGGGCTAAAAATTATTTTTCATTCTTATGTCACTTATAGCATTTTTACCTTTGGCCACTGAAAACCACCACCGCCAACAAAATCACCTGCCAGAAGAACAGCTTGGTGTAGTATGTGTAAATATAAAAACCAGTCCTGTGTGCTTGGATTGTCTGCTTTCACCCCGCTTCTCTTCATAGTGAAAACAAAAGCAAGAGTGGTACCTTCAGGTCACACCTACCACATTAGTCTGTTATAATTGTGATTACCTGATCATCACTTGACTGGTGAGACATTGCCAGGTAGTGGCAGCATAAAGACATAGTGATATTGCACGTTAAATTGGTGTTTCACTTCCCCAAGCCAGGCTGCAGGTCACAAAGATTACTGAGTGCAACAGTGCAGCGGTTTGTATTTAGTACCTGGTAATAACACACTATGGACCACGGTCTGAGCTTATTTATATGGACGTCAGTCCAAAGCAGCTTCTTGGTGCCACTGGATTTACACAAGATTTACACTCCTTTAACTAAGAGCAGAATTTGGTCCTAAATTCTGAGGTAGTTAAAGATCCTCTGTTTCTGAGTTGAGGGGAACTGTTTACACCCACATGAAGGGGGTTGTAAAATGCCATTGCACTGATTTGCTAGAGTGTTAGACCCAATTTGCTAAGGTGTAAATAAGTACCCAGTGGGCGGTATAATATTTGCATCCTGTAACTTAGGGTGTTGCTGTCTGATACAAATCAGCAAGCTTCAGGCTCCAACGTCCTCCCAGGAGCAGAACGGATGCTCCTGGCCTAGAGAAAGTGATGCAATAGCAGATTGCTAATGAGTGGGAGTTCATGGGGCGTGACATCCGCGGAATAAAATCGGAGTATCTCATGTGTACTTTCATTACCCAATGTGGTTATTTTTTGCAGCTGAAGTCTCGTGTCCTGATGACTCCTTTAGCAATCTCTCCGCCGAGAAGCACACCGGAGCCGGATATTAGTTCAATCCCCCAGGATGCAGCTACGATACCCAACTCAGCCACCCCACAGGCTCTCACAGGTACACAGCCTCAAGTGCTCCTTGGCCAAGGGCTGAGCAGGAACCGTGGGCTGACAGATGCTGTGCTTTCCAGAACAGGTGAAGCTCATGGAAGTGGGGTGTTTGCAGATTAGACTGGTGACCAGTGACAAAGAACAGAGATGTCCTGCAGGACAATATTTTGATCGCCATGTGTCAAATTTAGTGGAGGTGTTAGACCTATTCCTCTTGAAATGCAGACATCAACATCCCACAAATGCTACTGTTTTATACCAAACACTCACCCCATCAAATGTGTCGCAGTGACCACACTAAACCCCAGGATGAACATGAAGCATCTGCTACAGCTGTGGAGAGGACGGAGGAGCCATGGTCTGGCTGTAGACAGGGTTACCAGCAAATAAACCCCAATGTCTTTTCACAGCAGCAGATTTGGTAATTTCTGCCTGTAGTCAGGGAAAACAGCCTTATTCTTTTTTTTTTTTTTTTTTTGCTTATATTACCAGAAATAACATAGGTCAATGCTTTTCAACTGATGTAAATGAGAAGAAATTCAACAAGACAGCTGATTTACCCTGAGATTTCAGCAGAGAAATGGATTAGATAACATTAGAATCTAAACACAACACATAAATCCCATTATTTCTTAGCTGGGATGCACAGAGGAGAAGTTTTCCATCTGCTCTGGTAGCAGAATGATAATAAATGTAGTGTTGATGACAATAATAATATATTTTATTCTCATTTATCCCTTCACATGCAAAGACTGCAAAGTGCTTGGCAAACATCAGCTGAGTGGTGTTTCATAGCACAGCCCTGAGAGGTGTGCCCAGTGCTGCTTTAGGAGGAGGACAGGGAGGCACAGTCCACCATCCTCAGCAGATTCCCTGAGTGGCCACGGGGGCTCTGTGGGTCATTTGGGACTCTGGAGATGCAGCACCCTGCACCTCCATCTGCCTGTCCCTGTGCCACCGGCAACTCTTCCCCAGCACCTTCCTAATGGTGCACATAGGCTTCCATGAGAGCAGGGTTTGCAGGAGGTAGAGGCAGGCTCAAGCCAATTTTTACCTCCCTATCTGCACCAAAAGGACTGTAGGGACCCCTGCTCCCCAGCCAGGGCCACAGCATGCTGCCTGCAGGCTGCAAAGTCCCTCACACATCCAAGCCCTGGACAAAACTGGTGACTTCTCATGGCAGAAACCGCATCCTGCAGATTTGCAGGATTTGGCATGGTGGCACGCCGGGAAAGCTGCACCCTGGCACCCCCCTGCATGCTGCCAGTGCTGCCTTTCAGTGCCACCATTTATCCCTTTGTTTGTTTGGCACTTGGACAGTGTAAAGTGCTTCATAATGATAAGTATGATTGCTATTATCTTCCTGTTTACCCAGGATATACTGCTTGAGCCCCTTCTGCTCTCCAGTGAGAGATGGAGGAGCAGAGTGCACTGTGACAGTCGCACTAGATTTTCATTACGGTGATTCAAACTGTAAATTATTTCCAACTTTACACAGCTGTCATCATGTCCTCCACTCCACTTGATTTTTTTTTTGTCACATATCTGATTTCTGTCAGAGGATAATGTTATATTGTCTGAGAGATGACAGCTCAAGCACACTCAGCCAGCTATTATAATATGTCTCACTTTAGCCTGACTTTAGGCTGTGTCTTAGTCGCCCTTAGTTACCACTTAGTTATTTCTGCTTTCTCCAAGCCACAGATAGTCTCAGCCAAGCTTAAAATAAGTTCATGCTAGTGAGAGGAGAGCACTGATTTCTTGACTATTGCTGGCAGGCTTGATGGCATGTAGAAAAACTGCCTTTGGAGGCAACAGCATGTGAGAAGAGGCAGGCAGGGCTTGGCTGTGGAGAGGTTGGGGCATCCCTTGCAGACCCCTGTGCAGCACAGTTGTGCATCTGTGGTCCCGAATGGGGATTTAGCACTGCACACGATGTACAGTTTCCCCTGAGGTGATGCAGTTTGCAGAATGCTGAGTTGGACTGGGACAGCCAGGAACTCCCCAAAAGACCAAAGCCTCTGACATTGCATAGTGCAGCTCAGCGTAGCATAACCCTCCAGACGTTAGAGCTGTATTAAGGTCAGAAGCAGCAAGAAAAGCCTCCCAAAGGTCTCCCAAAGTTCATCTCCCAAAGGTCATCTCAGAGCAGTGTTTCTAGGAGGGCTGCTCAATGAATCAGTCTAAAACCAGAGAAAAACAACAAACCCAAACCACACTTCAGGCTAGAATTTACCCACTGCTGTAAGGTCACACCTGCTAGTCACTGTCCTGCACTCCTCGGGCACCTTTTCTGGTCATCAGCTGCATGGACAAGGTAGTCTCCAAGAGAGTAGATCCCAGGCACACGCAGGAGCATCTTTGACTGCATGTAGCTTCTCCTCATGTGTGACACTGAGCCAGGCCTAAACTCAGCTGGCTCAGTTGGGCAATGGGTGATCAGGGCAAGGAAGCCAGGCTGTGCCATCACAGGTGCCAGCAGTTCACCGGGGAATGGAAGAGCTTGTGAAATAGATAGAAATGTATAAAGCTAGCATTTGCTAGGCTGCTCTCGGGGCCATCTTTTGATGACCTCATTGGGATTTTGTGTCTACAGTCTGCATTTATGTCAACAAGCAAGCAAACCTGGGGCCGTACCTTGACAGAAAAAAAGTGCAGCAGCTCCCAGAGCACTTTGGACCTGAGAGACCACCGGTGGCCCTGCAGCAGGCTGTCCAGGCCTGCATTGACTGTGCGCTCCAACAAAAGGCTGTCTTCTCACTCATCAAGCAGGGCTATGGAGGCGAGATGGTGTCAGGTAAAGCATTTTTGTAAGGGGTTTGTGGCCATTTGGGAAGTGTTTGAAATCTTAGCCTGATCTCCTGAGCTGTCCCATTCTCATGGGTAGGCTGGCAACCAGCTTTAGCCATCACACCTTTGTAAGATGAGCTGCTGCAGGAATTGCCTTGGTGTCAGGTGAAAGCACATTGGTAAAAAGATCCAGGGAATGAACAGGTCTAGCTCCAGAGTCCTGCACTTTGCCACTCTTTGAAACAGTGTTGAGGCCAGGCCTGTGAGCTGTTTCATGCAGGCCATGCAAGGTTGAGCAGCCTTGCAAGCCTGCCTCATGCCACATGTTGCCATTGCTTGTTGTGCTAAAGAAGAACTTGCACAGAGTTCACCTGCTGGTGTGCCCCCAGCTGCAGAAACTGCAAAAGTGCCACAGCAGTTCCCCATACAGCAGGATTACACAAATGTATCAGAGAGAATCAAGAGATCCGAGAGAACTTCCCAGGAGTTCCTCATCTACCTGCACTGACACTTCTTGCAGGGTCCTGATGAGTCTCCCATGTCCCACGCTGAATCCCCCAGCCTAGCTCTCAGACTGAACATGAACTTTTAATCACAGCAAGACTTTTGCGTTGCAACATTGTTTTAGCGTGTGAGGGTGCACCGGGAAGGAACAATGATGGGAATCTAGGAAAGCTGCTCTCCGACGAGCTGCCGTGGATGAGTCAGGCAGGAACACGAAGCCAAGGACTGCAAACCCAATCGGTTTTGCAGGGACCACAGCACCTCAGCTGTGCCATTGGAATCCTCCTGTGTGGGAGCCCAGGCTGTGGCCCTCTATGCAGCATATAAATCCTGCTTCCTCCCTTTTCTCTAGTTTTCTTTAGTCACAGGTGTGCCATCCCTAAGGGACATCAGGAATACTTTAAGAATGATTCAGATTTTTTCACAGAAACATAAGACTGAAGCAATTCAGTGCAAAGCTTCGTTTTTGCCTTGTTCTGTGCTGTGTATATGATTTTCATTACAAGCAGGAGAGTCATGTTGTGCACCAAACCTGCCAAACCCCTTGGTCTCAGTTCCTCTGAGCTGGCGCAACTTCATGTACCTGAGCTAAAAGCACCTGGTCAACACTGCTCCCAACTTCATGCCTCTTCTGACCCTGAAGGAGGGGTGAATAGCCCTCATGGTCATGAGTCATGGTGTCACTCTGAAACTGCAGCTCGCTCCCAGCCCAGCAGCAGCACAGACAGTACAGGCTTTCCAGTCTTCCCATGGTTTGTCTCAAAGGTGCTCAACCAGCTGTGGAGCATGATCCCTTACAGCAGCTCGGGCCAACAGGAAATCTCTGAAGTTATCCTAAAGATTATAAGCCTAACATAATTTATACTTGCTAGTAGTGACTGGAGGTTGTAGGGCTAGAAAAAGCCTTCCAGATGGTAGAGTTCAGTATCATGTAGTCCTCCCTGCAAACCTGTTGACACCTAAATGTGTCCTGCTACCATTGATCCTGGTGAGCCTGTTGTGACCCCTCCACCTCTCTCATGGCTGGGACCTATGCCTTTTTTAACTCCTGCCTAAATAAAATCCCTGAAAGCTTTGTCCAGGAATTTTAATTGCTCTGCTCTCACCCTGAAGCTCAAACTCAGCTATATTTCTAGAGAGCAGTCCTCATACTGCCGGGCTGAAAAACAGGTTTTTTTTCAGGTCCTCTCTGCATGATGAGGAAGATTGCTGGGTTAGTGAAAGAAGTGCAGGTGTCTTCCCACAGCCCTGTATAGCAGAGATGGGGATGGCTACAGTGCAACAGGGAATCTTTCTGTTTCCCTGAATATCACTGTGGCCTGCCTGTGCACCTCTTCAAGTATGGATTCACCCTTCTTGAGCCTGGGGGACCAGGACGATGCCCATCAATCCAGCTCAGGTTTTACCAGGACTTTATAGAGTGGAATGGATATTCCTTTGTCTGTTCTGGACATGTTTTGTTCAATACCTCCTTGAAATGTGTCTGACTTTTTCATTGCTGTGTCACATTCATGGCTCATGGGCATCTGATGAGCCTGTCCCCTCATTTCTCATCCCATGAGGTCATGTTGAGCCACCTCAACAAAAATACGGATTGCCATATACTTTCTAGTATATTTTTCATCTGTTTTTATTATTGCAAACTCAAGATCAGCCCATCCTTTCTGTGCAAGCTCCCAGTCCTCCTCTCCATTGATAGTGCCTCCTAGCTTACTGCATCCATAAAAATATTTTTGTGCAAGCACAGATTACTGGTGGTTCCTCTCCAGTGCTTGGGGTCTACTGCCAGCAGAGCCTGTTGTTCTCTCCTGGCCCACCTTTCATACACAATAATTTCCAGTTTAGTGAAAGATTTCTCATACTTTACTGAATTCCAGATAGATCACAATTGCCAATCTTTCCTTGAATATAAATGCAGTTAAATCAATAAATAAGCATCCACAATGAAGCTGGATGAGAACCCTCACTTCAGTACAACTCTGGTACATTTTATTCATTCACAGACATGTCTTTAATTCTTGTCTTCCCATTATCTTTTAAAACCTCAGGTGTTGCTGAAGTCAGTCTAATAACCCACCACTGACAGAACATTTTCTTTCCCCTTCCTTAGACCAAGGTATCATAATTGCCTCCTTCCAATCATGCAATACAGTTTTCAGTTGGATGCATATATTAGAAATCCCTGCACTGCTGGCCATGCCAGTCGGCATCTTTCAGCCCTCCTGGGGGAAGGTGATCTGGGTCACATCAAGTCAGGTCCTTAAGCTCCTCCAGTTTCTTTTGTGCTTCAGGTCAGGTAATTATATAAAATATTTTAAGACATACAAATACTTGTGTGAAATCTTTTCCCCTGCTCTCATTCCTCCTCCTTCCATGCATCTCCGGGTATTGAATTGCTCCTGCTTGCTTTCCAGTTTCAGCTTCTTTTGAGGGGAAGCAGCATCTCCTGAGCCTGCTGGTGGTGAACAGCATTGGGTATGTCCTGCGATTCCTGAAGAAGCTCTGTCACAGCCTCTTGTGTGACAACCTCTTCAGCAACCAGCCTTTCCAGCAGTACAACACCATGCCAGAAAGCCCAGAGGTGTATGAAAACAGACGGATGGAGGCAGGTAGGCTGCTTGATCAGCTTGGAGGTCAAGATTTATCAGATCTTAAGAAATTACTGTCTTTTTTTGGCCCTGTACTGTATATTCTGGAGAACTGCAGGTCTCTGTGGGATCTTTCCAGAGAGAGGCAGTAGGCTGATTTGCAGTGTTTTTCCCAGTGGCTATAGAGGAGGCTTTTGGGTGAGAACCTCTATGTTGATGAGCTCCAGTAGTCATAGGGATAAAGGTTTTTATTGTTTTATATCCCTTTGTTTCTTTTATCTCTTTTCTTAAGGAAGCCAGACTCGTATGATCTCACTGTCCTTGTTTCTTTCAGTTCTTTCCCATAACTTTCGGCCTCCTCAAGCCTACCTGGCCCTGAGGTAAAAGCCTCAAAGGGATTAAGTTCCTTCAAGGTTCAGGCACACAGAAAGGTAGAGCAGAAGTTTCTCTCCTCATCCAACTCAACCACCTTATTAGACACTGAAGGGTCCCCACTGATTACCAAGCCTTCGATGCTTGCAGACATGGCACAGTGTTGCCTGTCTCCCCTTCCCAGCCCCCTCTGCTCGTGCATTGCCTTGGCTCATTGGGTGCAGTGAGAGGTGGGGGCTAGATGAGTGCGTGGACCCCAGCCCACATTTTGGAGTCACCACAGCATGAACAGGAAATCACTGCTGTAATGGGCACGCTCTGACCCAGCACTGCCCCAGCACTTTGTTATCTCTGTGCTTCCCTGCTTGCACAATGCTCATTTTAAGGATCACCTGCAAAGCATCATGATCTGACTTCACCTGGGGGGACTTCTTACTGGGCGAGGGAAGAGAGCTGCTTGCAGCAATGCCAGTCAGTGCCGTTAGCATAAAACTGAGGTTACATTATTAGCTGTAGCACACTCAGCCTGGATCCCAGTGTGCAACCTCCACCCATGAGTGCAAACCTAAATGAGAGTTGTGACTGCTAAAGGTGTTTGCTTTGATACTTGAGAGTAGTTGCAGAGCTTCTCCAGCTTAAAATGCCTGTGGGCACCAGCAAGGTCCCTCCCTTAGTGCTTCACCATGTGGGGTGAAGTCTGGTGGGTCTGTGGCATGTGGCAGATGCGTCTATGGAGATGGTGGTCTAGAGAGACACCTGCCTTGAGCAGCACTAGGCCCAGATGGATGCACACCTGGGCTTCCTTCTTGCCCCCGCCCCAGTGTGCAGGGATGGGATACTGGCTTCTCACAGTCCCTGTGGATCTGGGGCATGCCTACAGCCCCCATCTGCAATCAGTGGTCAGAAAGCTGCCCTAGGGCTCCACTATGGACACTTCAAAAATTAGTTTAGAAAAAAAAGATGCACAGTTATGGCCCTGAACCTCCACTTCACCTTCAGGCTTCCTCCTGATTTTAATGATTTTTCCTTCTATTTTATTAACAACACCGTGGGTGTTTGGGGAGCACTCTGTCCCTCAAGCATTCAGTTTAATAGCAGATGCATGCTGGCAGCTGAGAGAAAGGTGTTTTAGTGTCCACAATTATAATCCATTAATTGCTTGTTTGCCAGGAAGACCCTAAATGTGTGCTTTGCACGCCGAAGCTGTGAGTAGGCTCTGCACACAGAGCAGAAATTGCCTTTTTGTGCAAAGAAATCCAGCTGCCACTCTTGCACACAGGGGAGGAATGGCAGGAACCCAGACTGAAAAGCAATATTTTTTTTTTCCCCTCGACTAGGACATTTGCAGCAACCTGAATGTTTCTGAGAGGTCAAGGGATTTCTGTAGCACTAAGTGAGTGCAGCCCAGGAGGCCTGGCATTTGCATTTTCATTTGCATTTTAATTTGCATGTACATTTGCATTTACTTTTGCACAGCAATGCTGTGTGCTGTGGAAGACAACTCCACAGCCGAGTTTATACAGTGGCTGCTACACTCTCAGTGTCTCCCTCCCTACATAATTTCAATGAAGATGTTCCTGACATCATTCCCACTGGCTCTGCCCAGCCAGTGAGGAAGGGACAAAATATTATATTTGTTCCAGACCAAGCAGGAGACATGGATGTACGGAAGGTTTCTTCCACCTCTCCGGGGCAATTAATAGCTCCTCTGGAGGTAGTATGGGCACTAGCCTGGGCTCTCCTCCCTTCTGCCTGGGAGTGGGATGGGAGAAGAAGCAGTGGCTCCTGGGGCTTTTATGTCTCCAAGACCAGCAACATTGTGGTACAGTGGAGAATGCAAGCTGTAAAATAGCTGAGGGCAGCAGTTATACATAGGTTTAAAACTCCCCCACCAGCCTCCAGTTTGCTCACCCAGGGGATCTGATAGCCACCGACGTGGTAGGCAGAGAGCTCTAGCATGACCATGGGTCAGTATGACCTGCAGAGATTTGGGTGCTTCCCTGTTAGAGTGGAGATGCAGGAGATGTGATGGATTTGCCACTTGGTCCCACATAGAGGGTAACTGTGATGAGTAGTGATGTTTCTGGAGCAGCTGGGTACTCAAGTACTCTGAGAAAGCACCCCCAAAAGGGAACCCTCCTTCCACCAAAGATTAAAAGAAATACAGTGAGACAGGATTTGAGGTCACTTTAAGCGCTGTGCTGACCACTGACCTGGTGTACCAAGTGTGGTGAACCCAGGTTGCTCTGTCGAAGCCTACCATGGGCCTGGGGGTGATTGGGGGGTTGCTCACCAGTTCCACCAGCTAACCTGCTGTCTGCATCGCTGTGGGCCCAAGCGTGCAGGCTGGAGAGCCAGGTGGTTGTCTGGAACACCTACCTACCCATAAGATAACTGCTCAGCCCCAGAGCACACACCAAGGCACAGAAGAAGAACTTAACTCCAACAGATGAAAAGCCCTTGAAATGGTGCACGTTGGAGTGGGGAAAAGCTGCTTCTTTCCCAGGGCAACTTGTGCCCAGCTCAGGAGCTGGCTGTCAGCGGCTATGCAGCAGAGGAACTGGAGTGACAGCCTTGCACCCTTCACGCTGCACTCAGCTGGAGCCAGGCAGATACATACTATTCCTGTTCCTCATGTCAAGCTGTATTTAACAGCTCCATTTGCACCAGCGGAGTAACTCCAGTTCTAGGCACTGGGACTTGAGCCACTTAGTCTATGTTTAATACTGCATTCCCTAAATCCCCTTCCATCTCCCTGGGAGCCAGTGTTCTCTGCAGCAAGGTCAGCACAGGGCTGATCTCTGCTACACAGAACAGAGGCAGGGTTTCCCTGTAGTGGCAATAATTAAGGAGGGCAGTAGGAGCTCTTCTCACAGACGGGTCTGTGGGGGCATCTCCTGGGATAGAGCTCACATAGAGCAGGGCTATAAAAAAGCAAAGCAGGAAGCCATGCACAGCAGCCACATTTTTCCTTGTTTCTGTTCCTTAGCTTGTAATCAAGATGCTCTTTCTTTTAAAATCATGTGCTTTTCAGCCCGTGCATACCAATGCATTTAATACACGTATTGACTCTGGTGTGGTTACTCTTGATTTACGCTGGCAGAAGTGAGGAGAGAAGCCAGCATCGTGTCCAGTCATATTAATCCACTTACTCCGTATAGGACTTACCTTTTAACCTTGCCCCAAAGCACATGCCCCTAAGCCATTATTCACCTGTGCTCACAGCAAACTGCCAGATGCTAATGGCTGCGTACAGGCCAGGTGGGATTTGTTGATATATGCATAAATCACTTACAATGATGTTCTACATGTCTTAGAAGCACACACTTGTGGGGCTGTGCCCAGCACCAGCCTCCGCAGTGAGTTTTGTTGGCTATGCATTACCCTCCCTGCACCTGAGCACATGGAGCAAGGGTCCCTCTCCAGCTGCCTCCCAACGGCAGTGGCTTCACTGCCTTGTCTTGGCACATCTGGGGACATACCCCATGGCTTTTTCTCAGCTCTGAGGGGACTTTCTGGCTCATGAGAGCAATTTGAGGGGAGCCTCTGTGGCAAGACTCCCAGGACTTCATCTGGGAAGTGCCCAGTTTCAGGTCTGCATTACAGCAAATCCTGAGACATTATCTGTCCTCACAGCACTCGGGCTCAAAGCATCTCTGGACCTGCACCCCAGAATTTTCCATGAGAGCAGTAGTGCAGTTTGAACTAAAATGATGGCAAGGTCTGAGTAGAACTCTTCAGAACATTCTGTGAAGTGTGCCGGGGATACATGGATGGGAAGCCAACACAGATCCTGCAACGTGCCTCCATCCAAACCCTCTGTGTTCAGATTTCGTTAGTCCTCGCATGCTGAGCTAACTGAGGTTTGGATGTGAGCATGGGAAAGAGACATTTTGGAAACATCTACATGCTGTTGCCAAGCACCTATGCAACGTTAGATTGTTATTTTTCAGAGGAAAGCATCTGTGCTATAAAACTTCTCACCAATCTGATGGTGGGTACAGAAATTGAAGTAGTTTCTCTTATGTGGGAAGCATCAAACTTGATAAGCACCTTCTTCCTTCTCCTTTCAGTCAATCCTTTCCTTGCTCTTTCTGTCCTGAACCTTGGCTTTTGGTTATTTTGTACTGTTAGACAATTGCTGTGCTCCATGCAGAGCTTGGCTACGTGCAGCTGCAGCAAACCTTTTTTTTTTTTATGCACGGACTCCTGGTGCTCCCCTATCGGGGGGAAGACAGGAAGGTCTGTGAATAAGGTCCTCAGCCTTGCTCCTCTCCATGGCCAAGTCAAATTTGTATGTGTATACACGGTGTGGTGTCCCCTACAACCATCCACAGGAGAGCAACACCTCTTCTTGTGACAGGGGCTTCTTGTGCAGGGTCCTGTGTGGAGAATAAGCACAGCAGGAGGTAGAGGTACCCCATGGTACATCAGTGCCTCTCTATATAGGAAGGTGGGCTCTTCCTTTCTACAGCACTTGAAAAGCTGGTATGTGAAGTATTATAGCAATGCACCAAAAGAGTGTGATTCTTAGGCAAGACACTAGGCATGGAGCTGGATCTTGTCAGAGACATTCCCACTGATTCCATGGGCAAGTCATTCTTCCCTGCTTTGCCTTTATTGGAGCACCTGTCCAAGGAGGGCTATAA